ATAGTTCTTAACATATTGTATTTGCCTTACAATCTCCTTAATCTCATTCCCCACGTCAGAGCAATGGGTCGGAGTGTTTATGCGTGTACTTTTTCGCCCTTCGAACTTTGTTCTTTTACTGGCGAACGGAAAGAACGAGTCTACTGAAAGATCTAAAATTTTGCTGGATACAGATCTGAAAATGATTTTATGTCAAAATAATGTTGGAAATTCAAACTTGCTAGAATATCAAAATTGTTTGCAGTATTACTCATAATTCTTTATTTAGTTTCCAACATAACATTTTGATGATCCAATAAAATTATTTTCAGATCTGTATCCAGCAAAATTTTAAATCTTTCAGTAAAATTTTTCTGGCTACAGGTCTGAAAATAATTTTACTAGATCGTGAAAATAATTTTGTTAGAAACTCAAACTGTTAAAATATCAAAGTTATTTGCAGCATGCGCTCATCAGTTGAAATTTTATTTTTAATTTTGATTGTCCAACAAAATTATTTTCAAACCTGTATCCAGCAAAATTTTAAATGTTTTAGCAAAACATTCTTCTTTCGTACGAATTCAATCGAGTTCTCGTTGAAAATGATTTCAGCATCGACTTTTCATTAAGTCATTATTGCTGTTTTGATTTAAGTAGAATTTTCTCTAATAAGAATGTCCGGTCGATCCAACAGACGTGCTCATGACACCAAACTCGAGTGGATTGGTCGACGGGTTAGCCGCTAGAGAGACAACCGCGACAGACGTAGAAGCGACAGAAAGGGGGACGAGATAGAGGGACCCCTGCGCGTACTGTGTGCTCTCCTCTCAAACTATTTATTCCGGCACAAATCGCATTACCAACTTCAACTGCAAAATTGACTTCGTCCAACTTTTACGGCGCCTCCGCCCTTACGTCCCTTCGACGCCACCCGCACGGTCAGAACTTCGACTTGTACGAGGGTTTACCAAACTCAGTTTAAGAAGAAGAAGAACTGTTTCAGTCGTAGAAAGAGAGACGCATCTTGCGGGACTTTCTCTCCTACCTCGCCGATATAAAATCGCACGACGCGAGCTTCTGGTAGAGTGGAAGTTTGGAAGTTCCAGCCGTCAGGTATAACGAACGCTATCATAATCGTTACACGTTGTTGTTCCTTCCTCGTCGATTCGAACTTGATGAAAACCGAATTGTTGAACGTCGCTCGTTTTATCCCCCATATTGATAGGTCTTCATCTACAAATCGTCCTTTATATCTCTGTTCTAAATATTCATTTCGCTTGGCATTCGTTAACGAGCTTCTCACATACTCGCGCGCTACATTTTAGATTCCACTTAAATCTCACATACTGCACATTCAACCTTAATGACGTTGCTCCCATTTCTCGAGCAGAACGAAGTAGAACGTTATTACCGACGTTGGAAAAAAAAACACTCACTTTTTATTCCAAGATATTGCTATTAGGCTATCTAATTCGCTCGAATAGATTTGCCTTCCTGCAATCGGAAAGAGAGAGAAAGAGAGAGAGAGAGAGAGAGACAGTGAGCGTCCACGCTGCCCGTTCTCTTGCACTTTCTCTCTCGCTTTCATGCTGGAAGCAATTTCATTCGATTTCATGTGCACAAGTTTTACTAGTATTCGCGCTTCAACTGGTGCGTCCAATCGGAAATCCGGCAAATGTACCGCAACCACGGCACCGCAATTCGACGGTATCATCGTTGGGAGCGCGCGCGGCCGTGATTAATCAAAACGATAAACTATTCCTTATTAATAAGCCCTAAAGCGGTTCGCGCCCGAAGAGTGGGGCTATAACTCACGACGGAACAGATACCTTCTGGGCTTCGCATTAAAATTGAAATTAGCCACCCATTTGTCTTCCCGTTTGGCTTAATCGTGACTAGCCAGGTGATTTATGGTTTTCACTTCTGCGGGGCGTGAATGTAGTTTCTCTTCTCAGATACGGCGCAACGCGTAATGCAATTCAAACCCGAAAGCCGACGGAGGAAAAAAGAAGTTTGGGTGCGGAGCGCAATGAAAAGCGTGCTGCTTATAGCCGTGTTGCGTGATCGTGCTATAACAGCTGTTGGAAAATAGTTTTGCTCAACTCTCGCGGAACTCCTTATTACATTCTAAACACGCGTGGTCGTCCCATGATATAATGCCATCGCATTATATCACCTAATGCCGTGACACTGGCCACTGTTTATAACACCTTCATAACCAGTTTATTGCGTTTTAATTGGCATTAACTGTTATAAACTTAACAAAGAGCTATATAACTGCGTATAACTGGTATGCGGAATCATAGTTCGCACCGTGATTCTTTTATGATTTTTATGAATATTCAAGAAGACCTGCTTCTTGAGGCGTAACACGATCACTTGATAATAGCAACGGTGACTAATGTACTTTAAATATTAAGTATGTATGCATATTCAAGTTAGCAAGGACGTATTGAATTACGTGAATGATTAACTGATAGTAAAAAAATAATATTTACATCACATACAGTGAATATAAACTGACGTGTTAGTTATGAAACAAACAACATTTATGACGGGAAAGTTTCAATGTATTGTCTCTCGGAGCACACATAAACTTCGGATATGAAATTTACAGAAAATCTCGTTACATAGACACGCTCGTAATAGCTTTCGCAACGCGTTCGAGGAAATGCAACAAAGGTTCCTGGTTCTATATCAGGTAGACGTGCACTGTTTGCGAACACTTGCTCTAGTTTCCGATCACGCGGTGGCTAATGTGTGCGCTCAACCACATTCTGTATTTCATATTGATGTGCAGAACTAGATATCACCGATTTGCGTAACAATCAGTATACAGAACAGGTTTAAATAGATAACGTGTACAGTAAATCTCATGCGCTTATAAAATATTGTGCGGTCTAACCTCAGCCTGTCAACATTATGCGTTGGAAATGTCGATGCATAATGTAAGTATTTATGTCTCTTCAGTTTCATTGCCGCAACCATAAATTTCGACATCTTTTTAAACGAGTTGTAAATATCGACTGTATTGTAGCAATATATTTTTTTAATTGCGTATTATTCGCGTTCGCGATTGTGTAATTTTGCATTAATTTCCATTAGAGTATGTAGTTAAAATAATTATTCATATGACGTATATATGACATATATACGAACATTAAGATTTTTTAAATTTACAGATTTTTCAAATCGGAGAAAATTCAACATTTTTAAATAAAATATCGCAAATAAGACATTATTTTTATGTGTTGTATAAATTGTTTATTTCGTATGAAAGAAGACTGATTTCGTTTTCTAAAGAAGATACTATACGTTACTTATGTAGTTATATAGTACAGTAGCAGAAAGAAGTAAATTCTCTCTGATCGAGGTTCTTCTTGCTTCCTGATTAGCCAACGAGTCATGTTACATGTAGTGGACCTGGAGTATGTGTATATCCAGTTCAAGGTGAGCCACACTCTCCGTCACCATAAATAGCGAAATCGGCATGGTATGGGGGATCGTGACGTAGACAAGGGTGGGGTGTGTCAGTCGCTATTGAAAGAAACAATCTACCTCACTACAGGGAATAATACCATGTTCCGTTTCGTGATACAGTGGTCTCCCGATCGCGGACACGGGCGAGACCCTGAGGTTCGAAAGGCTCCCTGACAGCTAAAAACGCGTCGAAACGAATTAACGGTCAGTCGATCAGTGTCGCGGCCTAGGTCGTCGTCGATGGGCTTTCGACCATACGCATCATGGAATTGATTTGGATACTCGTTCTATTCTTCGGGTTCGTATACCCGTCCCAGCCGTCACACCTCGAAGTGGCTTACCAGTGGAAATATCTCGATTGGGTTTGGCCAAATATACTTCTGACGGGAAAAAACTATACGCTGGGCAATGCCTTCACACAAGACGTGGATATCGACAGACAAGGTCGTGTGTTTGTGACGAGTCCACAGTGGTTAAATGGTATACCAATTAGTTTATCTTTGGTGACTAAGGCGCAGGGTTCTGGTGGTCATTTACTTATACCGTATCCCAATTGGTCCTGGCACGTATCTTTTAGTTGCGACAACATCGTATCTGTCTACAGAATAGCGGTAATTTTACAGTTGATAACAGACTGAATCCAAATTGTGGCAGAAAAATTTTGAATGCGCGCGACACTCATATACATCATTTTGTCCATTCAAAACTTTTCCGCTATCAATTTGGTGTCAAATTTTATAACAATACGTGTAGGATTGATAGCTTGGTACGTAATCTTTAGATCGACGAGTGCAATCGTTTATGGGTGGTCGATTCTGGCAGAGTAATGATGAAAGCGGTTTGCCCTACGAAAATATTGATCTTCGATCTTGCCACGGATCAGCTGATCCATAAATACGTGGTACCGGATGATCAAGTGCTGTACGGGAAGGCAGGATTAGTTACGCCAATCGTCGACGTCGGAAAAACGTGTCTTGATACTTATCTCTATGTGGCGGACGTGGATCAAAATGGACTAGTGATTTATGACTTATATCGCGACCATTCCTGGCGAGTAAACAACACCCGTGGCAACGCTTTTGGCCCGGATGAGGATGCTATGAATATTACGATCGCCGGCGAATGGTTTGATCTGACTGATGGTACGCTCGGTATGTCACTGTCACCGTTAGGATATTTTAATCACAGGTAACTAATTACTATCATTCTAGATCAGTTAATTTATTAATCGAGGGACATTATGAGATTCGATCGAAATTTAAATTTATTTGATGTCAGTTTTTGGAACTATATAAAAGCTCAACAAGTTGAATTAAAAAAAATCTCGTGTTTCTGCTTAACGTAATAAATAATAAGATATAGAAATTAATTTGACTATTTAAATGTTTTCTTTATTTATTTGGCTATTGTTTTCTCATAATCGAGAAGAAATACAAAAATTTCTATAGAAAATACGACCGAAACTTTTGCTGCAAGTATGCTAATTGAGGAAAAGTCGTTTGCCATGTGTCACGATGTTTACCACTTTCAGATATCTGTATTTTAACTCACTCGCGAGCTACTATCAGAAATATGCGGATACGGTTTCGTTGAAGCAAAGCAAATTCAGAGAGCCAGTGATATTTCAATCAAATTACAAGCGCGCGAGCCAAGCGGGCGTGCAGGCGACCTCTCGAAGAGGCGTAATATTTTTCCAATTGGTCCAATTAACTGCCATTGCCTGTTGGGACATCGGGAAACCATTTACTCCGGAGAACGTCGTGATAATAGCACAAGACGAGGAGACTCTGCAGTACGTGAGCGGCATTAAGGTGATCACGAATAGGGCCGGCGAGGAAGAATTATGGTTCAATACCAACAGACTTCAGAAGACGATAAACATGAGCCTCAAACCGACGGAGATAAACTTTCGAATAATTAGAGGAAAGGTCGACGATATCATTCGCGGTACAAATTGCGAGCCGTCCGGCGTGAGGACGGCAACACCGGACATCGTTTTTTGGCATCAAATATAACTTGCCAGGACATTTTATGCCTTTCATTACCTCACTTCAAATGCTTTTAAAATGTTCCTGTTTCATTTGCCATTGAAATTGTGTCGGATGAATGAAATGATGAGCGTTAACGAAGACTTTTCCAAATAAATTCGCGCATAATATGATGCGTCTTGACAAAACTCCATCGCACTCTTTCTTCCGCATCAAGTTTCACATCCAGAGATAGATTTGTAACTAAAAGCGACGGATCGTTCGCATATCCGCGCACGACCGAATAGAAGGACGGAGTGGCAGCGAGCTCTGCGAATGACAGCCGGAGCGTGTAGCAATTTAGTTAACCGTTTCATTGCTGCCTTTTGAGATGTAACGATGAGGTCTGTCGGTGACACGAGCGCCGCCGCGAGCCCCGAATGTTTCGACAGGGTGGCTTGACGCCGTCAGTAACGGGGACTGTCGAGTTCACAGCAGAGCAGGAGGAAAGGGGAGACGACGAATTTCTTGTCGACGAAGTTTTACCGGGCTTTTAGGTGTGCCGCCGCTGATTCTGCGGTAGTGCCGGATTCGGAATAAATGCGCATTCACGGGGAATTGTTCGCGTTACTACCCCCCGGGATACCAATAGGGCGCGCGCGATTCCGAGAAATTCGTGTCACCTACTTCTCTTTCTACGGCGCGGTTCGGCGTGTGACTAATGGCGGCATATTCATGGCGCACCCTCCCGACACCACCCGATCCTCCCTCTTACGAAGCTCTGGCAGTTAACCTCAGACAACCCCTTCGTCGCGATAATATACGGCTGCCCTTAAATTTTCGTTCCCCTCCGGCATACTTGTTCGGCCTATCTCACCTCGTGGAGCAAGAGCACACTCTTCTTTCCGGAATAACTTTGGCCAACCCTGCGATTATTATTACCAGGTCAAATCAATTTTTTTCTCTGCGATTACGTCAGTGCGTACATAATGAAAACTCGTTAATCATTGATAAGATGAGAACGTGAGAGATATTGCTATGCTCTCTTAAACTATGTCTGTGTCAAAGTACGTGTCTTCCTCTTCTTGAACATATCGACCTGTGTTTATCTTTATATCACGTATGAATATTAATCGGTACAATTATGTTAAAATAACGTTGTGTCTATCAGGTGAAACTAGTCGTACGATGAAGCACATTTTCCGCGGCACAGTCGAGTACGCTTCCACGATCATGATCGTTACCTTAAAGGCAGGATGTGGAATTACTTAAGGAACGATAGTTCCTTCGCGGTAAAATCACACCGTGAGTTCGGTATGTCCGCGACGCGGAGGACGGATGTCGCAAATCGTTTTACGAGGATAGTTTTAGAACGACTTTACGAGAATGGCTTGGAATTTTGAAATAAATTTGCATCAGTTTTACTACCCCTGATATACATAACTACCGGTGTTTGGCACTGATACTCGCGCGTACAGGGCCCGAACGGCCCAGACTAGCGATACTTCAGTGCTCGCCGTCGACGATACATCATGGAAACCACCTATTGAAGAAAAAAGACACGTGTATTCTAGCCGTTCTTTTTTTTTTTATTACTCCCGGGACGATAGACACGCATTTACGTAATATCTCTTCGATCTCCAAAAAGAAATGATAATAAATTGGCAATATCCGTGATATTCCCAGTTTTCCGAGACTATGGTTCTTAGGCATTACATTATTATATTACTGCACGGAGAAAATTTTATATTAAGTTTTAATACAATTTTTTAAATTACACTTTACTATGTCTTGTATTTTCGATGGATTCTCACAACATGTGATTCCGACTTAACTTTTACTATGGTAATACTAATTTTTATCACATAAATAAAGTAATTATTTTGTTAAGCCATATTCTAACATGAAAACAGTTAATTTTTACTATACGGTACGCAAACGAAATTTGCTAGGTATATTTGATTTTGTAATAAAAAATTTTTACTACGAAAAAAGTGTAAAAATTACGTTATATTATTGTTTTTAAAAAAATAACTATAGTATTTAAACTTATAATTTACATGAAGACCGCAGCTACTACCACATTACAGTAATTTTAGATATAAAATTTTCTCCGTGTGTAGACAGCAGAATTTATTCGTGAAATATTTTGAAACTTACGTTCTTTCGACCAATTTATTTTTCACAAGGAGAACTTGCTGACAGTTTTAAATAATTTTATTACCCCATAAAAGAAAATACAATTCCTCGGTGTTTTGTCGAGTAGTACGATTTGGAACGAGCTATGCACGGAGCGTAACATAAACGAGTCACCGACGCGATACGTCACACAGCGGCAGCGTCAGTTCTCAATTCGGCGGAACCGCGGCGTTCTCGGCTCGGCCGATGGAACGCCGGGCGAGAATTTCGGGCATCCACCGCGTCTTTATTAAGGTCGGCTCGTCTATAATTCACAGGAGAGAGAGAGCGCGGTCCTAGGTCGTCCTGACAGTTGCTCGGACTCACCGGCCGCATAAACACACCGGCGTCTCGCGCAGTAGGTCCGTGCGCTCACACGTCCGTGTGTGCCACGCATTGCGGTTGTCAGCCCTAGTCAACGTGTAATTTACTAGCTCGCCCTCCCGTCACCCCCTTCGGCACGATGCAGATGCAGTCACTGGTTTTGGACTCGGTGCAACGTCGGGGCGGTCGCAGCAGCAACAACATAACGCCGTCAACAGCGACCGTCGTACCCGCTGCTGCTGCTGCTGTTGCTGCTACTACCGCGACTAGTTACGATGCAAATGGATAACGCCGCTGCATCAACGGGTACCATCCTCTGACCACTCGGAACCTGACGACCACAGGGCCGCTATAAACCAGCAGAGTACGCACTACGTTCTCCCGAAACGGCCGGAACTTTCGAGCTGTCGCGCCGAGATGATCGTCGAGATTATCTACCGCTCTCGCGCGTGAGCATTTCTCGCGAAATATTGGGAAACTTTTCTCTTTCGTGCAAATTCCCCGTTTCTCCCTCTCGTTTTCCTCTATTTCACTTGTATTCCACGTCAGTTCTTTGTATTCCGTGTCATCATATCGATCGTATACATCTGGAATTACCCGTATAGTTAACAAGGTTCTTGAAATGTCTTATTTCTTTAATCTTTAATCAGATAGAAAACGTTAGCTTAATCAGACGATCAGTTAGTTTACCATAATCAAGCTTTAAATATGTTGTTAATTACAAAATTCTATGCACATTTTTTATATCAATCCAGTATTTGAAATTTAAGGTGTAAAACAAATCCTTAAAGCTGACGCTTATTTGATTTCAGTTAATTTTCAACGAAATGGCCAGATATATAGAGAAATGTTTTAGGCAAAATTTTTATATACTTTTTATATGAATAACTATGTATTTAAACACTAAGTATAAGAATATTCAAGCCTATGACGGTCAAAGCTAGATCTTTTTTGCCTAAACAATTCCCAGTGAATTATCTATATCCTATATATGCATGTACATATATAGGATATAGATAATTCACTGGGAATCGTTTGGCAAAATGATCTAGCTTTGACCGTCATAGGCTTGAATATTCTTATACTTAGTGTTTAATTCTTGTCGGTCCGAATAAAATCTTATTATGTATTTAAATTTTTACAAAATCCAATATTTTTCAAAATACTCCAGCCGTACTACTTTCATCCCTTAAATCTTAAATTCGACTGGTATAAAAAAATACGTACCTCTTAGATTTTGTGTTTAACAACATATTTCAAGAAGAATTGAATCGATTCTGAACGGTTGAAATAGTCCCCTTATAAGAAATAAAGTGGAAATATTCGCAAGCTAATAGTACATGTGACATTTTTCTTCGATATCTATTTTGTTTACGAAAAAATTTACTGATGATGGAATATATATTTCTGTGAAATATATCTCATTGTGAAAAAAAATTGTAAAAAAATAAAATATGATTTATTTGCTAGAAATATAATTTCATTTCGCCGTATTTAAATAAAGATTTATTTCAACGAAATAATTATATCCTACAAATTTTTTTAATATCTTTTTTTCAATGTATTATTCTTCATATAATTTTAAAATAAAATGCAAATTTCCATATCGAAAAACGCAAAAATTAATTTACTTGACAAAGTTTATCAAAGAATTTAATGTTTAACATGCATAAAACATATGGAAAAAATGATCACAAAAAAATTATGCTCTCTGAGCTTTTGTGAGGCACATCTCTCTCTTACCAGATTAAAAGTTAATTATTATTCGAATCACAAGTACATCATAATTGCATTACAATTGTAATTATTTCTTTTCCTTTGATATACTTTCGTGCTACGAGGTTACGTCGTGCAGAGAATATATTCCAACTCTCTATAAATCAACTCATCTGTCTATCTATCTACCTATTTGCCTTCAACGCTACGAGCTCTACTCACTCTCTCCTTCGGAATCTTGCAAACAGTTTGCTTCCTTTTACCGCACGCACCGCCGTGCAACGCTCGGTAGAAATGTCGTTTGCTACAGGAACCGGTCTCTTACGTTCGCAACCGTTCGTTACCGTTAGTTCCGCCTGGCATAGCGCGTTCGTAACGTAAACACGTACGTGTGCACGGTACCGTAGAGAGAGGCCGGAGAGCAGCGCGTTTCGAAGGTGTAGCTGCTTTGCCTTCTGCCATTCGTTACCTTTGCCGCGAGTACACACGCATGCCTGTAGATGTGCAACGGGCGGTTGTTTACGGTTGTGTAAATAACGGTGGCTCGTACAACCGGCCGTGGGACATTTCACTTGGTTTCTTAAGCGTATATTAGGTGTGATACGTGACTGATTTCGTACCCCGTTGGATGTTACGCAGCAAGAATTAATCATCATTGTGTTTTACGGTCGGCCACCCTGAATAATTTTCGGTCTTGACGATCTCGTCGGTCTTCCGCAAGTTACCTTCACGACTCCGACCGTAGCTTTTATCTCTCACCCAGAGAGAGAAGAAAATAGACCTCGCGCGTGCAATTAAAATAATTTGCACCGCTTACAACGGAAAGTGTAACGACCAGCTAGAAGTTCGGAAGAGTTAATTTGTAAAACGGCCCATTCGGTTAAATTACGCGCCGGATCTTTGTTGTAAAAACTTCCTCTTCCTTGAAAATTGCTGGGTCATCGAGCGTGTATCACTTGTACATTCACTGCCAAAGCGTCGTAATCTTGGCACAGCATGGTTTTAGAGCCCTACCGCGATGGGTAGAAGGATTCATGACGTGTCTGCAAGTATGAATGCATAACCCCTACCGTGCCGCTCGCCAATTTTCGTACATCGATGTATCGTGGAAAGGAACGAACGTTGTAGACCCGTAATGAATAGCTCGGGTGGAAATGTACTGGGTCAGGTGCAGGTACCAATGGAAGGATGGCTCGATGAATGTAGCGAGTGCTGCGCAGGAGAGGGGAGATATAGGTGCAATCAGCGCGATGATAACCAGTATTACCGCGTCTACCCATCCCAGGCCACCGATCTCCGCGGCGTAATTCCCGAGGGTTCTATTTGCGACGAGAACAAGCGGCTAGTATGACGGCAATCCGGGGGATGATGTATTCGGTGTTATTTATTTCTAGCGATACCGTGCAGACCGATTGGCCGAGTGACAAAATAGAAATCAGTTCAGGAAGCTCTCGGATATTCGTGCTTTCAGTCAAGCTTTGTTGGTCTATTCGTCGATATTCTATTTTTCATAGAAATTGTGTTCTTATCGTAATGCCCTTTTTAGAATAAGGAAGCGTTCAAAAATCGCTCGTGCATTTTAATATTCAAGTGATTTCTACATCTGATTTACATTTTTATTTAATTTCATGTACTTTTATTTTTGCAATTTTATTCGATGCACTGAGGAAAATACAAATTGCGGTCGAAACGTTTGCGTATTTATGTAATTTACTACATTCAATAAATGTTTTATGAACATTCGCGTCTTATTAGCTTTTTCTTATTTGGCTTAAATTTACATTTATTTCTTATTACTTAATAATTACATGGTGATCAGGGCCTTACTTTGTCCTTATAAGGAGATATAGAGCCACGTTTGGTTATTTGCTTTTCACTCGCTTGCGCGTGCATGGAAGATGGAAGTTTAAACTCGCGAGTGAGTTTTCATCGAGAGGAAAACTAAGGAAGACGCGACTAACAGCTGGATGGAACTTTCTCACTGCGTGGCATACAAAGTAAACTTGCTAACGTTGTCTCTCACTCACTAACCCGCTTTTCTCTCGTCGTCCTCGTCTCCCTTTTTCGGATATTACCCTCTCCCGCGCTACGTAATATTTCCGCCTATTCATATCCATACATTCGCCTCGCTGTGTACGTGTGCGCGAGCCCATTTTTCGCGTCCCTCGAAAATAATACAACCCTCCACTCCAGCAGGCACCTTATTTATTTCCGTACGAATTTTAAAAGGCAAACGGAAACAATGATTTTTAATAATATCGCGTACGTGCTTGCAGTATGGAGAAGGAAATCTTCTCTTGATTGTATCAAGTATATATTTCCATAATTTAACTAAAAGACTGGATACAATATTGCTGTGTACTCGTCGCAAGTATAACACATTTAGTGCTGTAATTATTTTTTTTTATTTTCCTTCATTGGAAATGAATATGTTTCAACATACAGGCAATCATTATCTTCAAATTTATGCTGAGGCACGTTGCGACAATATTAATCCCTTCACATCGCGGTGAACAAGGATTTTTATAGCTTTTGCTTAAATACTTGGAGATCTTTGCTTAAATAATTGTGATAGCTATCAACGTGCTGGAATCTACGCCGCCGCGGAGAGGAACCTCCTTTAGAGTTAAATAAACATGTCCTCTTTCTTCCTCTTCCCTTCTTACTGCGTTGAGACACGTGCTACGGATCTCACGAACGAGTCTCTTACGTCATACACAATTTATTCACCGACGACGTTCCTCGTGTTTCACGCTCGATTGAACACTACGTTATTACAATTTACGTTGCGAAAACATGACAGCTTCCATGACGATGCTTCGCGTCCAGACTGTCGCGCAAAAATCGTTAATATCACTTCATGACAAGCGACCACTCTTCAGCAAGTGAGCTGAAGAAACTCGGGTAGTTGTTTCCTAACAAGAGTCGGGTCGGGGGGATCGATTGTTTTTATCAATGCGTGAGCGCCCTACGTATGAAAACTTCCATCCGCTCACGCCCTGTTTCCTGCTGCGAAGATGACGGCTAGATGGACGAAAAGGCGCGTGATGGAGGGCGCGGGGCGAGGAGCCGAAGAGGAAGTTGTTGGACCATGTCGACTGCTTCTCAAGCCAGCCGAAGTGGACCTATCGACTCGAAACGAGTGTGCTCGACGTTAAAATCCCGGTCGCTGCTCCTGTTTCTAAGCCTCCCCTCTACTGACCGTCATCACTCTTTCTCGCTTCCTCTCATCCCGCGCCAACTTTCTGCCTTTCCTTCACGTGTAGCGCGCGCGCGTGCTCATCCACTCACTCGTGTTAGACGTAAACGATGCAATGGGATGGGAGGGGGTGGACACGGTCCAGCAAATCCGAAATCCCCTTTTCCTCGATATAAAGCTTCGTCCCTTTTTTCGGCTTCGATCCTCCACATAGCGAGACTTCGCGCCGCTACTCTGTGGGAGCGAAGTATCGGAGCCACCGATAAAACCGAGTCGTAACAAACGAAATCGACACTATCAGGTCAGACACTCGTACGCGAAGGCGCGCGTCAACAGTAGAATTCAATTTCGAACTAGACGCTAACATTGTCTGACGTATTTCGATCATTCTAAACGTGGAAGTTAGATCTACATATTGATTTTTTAAATTGACATATCGATTCTGTAGATTGTAGAAGATTGTGTTTCCTTTCGTTTGAAACAGAATTTTTTTAAGAATTCATTTCTGTTTTTAACTTTGATATAACAATATATATGCATAGAGAAATTAAATATTTGTTATGTGATGAGATAATAATTCTCTCTTCAATAGTTCCAAAAATAATTAATAAAAATTATATAAATATTTTTAAGAATGTGATATGAATGAAATATCCTGACGATATTGTATTAATTGTTTATAACAAATATGTTTCTGTGTTCTCATCGCGAAATATCGCGATGTGTTATTAATAAATGAATTATGTTTAGACAACGCTTACAGAGGTGATAGTCGGTAGGGATGGTATTTCTTCGCAGGGGAGTGACAATATTATTCTGTTTCAGGGTGTGACGGGCGACCGGCTGGCCGGGGGCGCCGCACACCTCCTCCACCTCTTCTTCTTCTTGCCACGACCACAACACACAATGTAACAACAACTACTACTACTACTACTACTACTACTACTAGTGTCGTCCGCGCGAACCACGTTCTCAATGTACTCGATGTGGTACGTCACCATACCCCTACTCGGTGTCTCTGAAGATGTGTCATTAAGTTTTAACACACACGTGTCTCTCACTTTTTACGTTATCGTGTCACACAATTAGTATTTCTCGTTGATGTTTTGATGGGAAAGCTCTGCGAGGCTCAAGATCTGCCCAGAGCCAGATTGGGCGAACGTGGACCCGAGAGTGCTCTGTCTAATTGGCAATCAGGTTGAATTCGGTGGAGCATATTCTAGTACACGCGGTATCCCGCAAATCTCGTGCTGCAAAATTATTTCGACAAAATTTAACATCGCGCTGTGGCAGAGGCATTCCTCGTGTGCACGTACGTATTCACGCGTCATTTTACCATTGTATATACGTTTTGTATTTTACATATACATATATATTCATTCGTCACGTAAACATACACACATACACACACATATATGTATTGGTGGATTATGTCTTCACTGTTCGCTGAATTCCGTTACAATGTGACTTGTGGTTGGTTAAGTTTCGTTGGTTTATCGATGTTCAATGTTGACTGCTATTGTTGGTTGTTAGGTGTTTAGTGGTCATTCTGTGTTGGTGCTCACCCCCTACCGACTATTCCTTGTATTCGCTGTCCTGACGACGAGCACCCCACCCATTTCTCCAACACAAATCCCTAAACTTGATGTTAGAAGTTACGATATCAAACTTGCTTGTCGCCATCTTCTCTGCAGACCGGCGGCCACCGAATTTATTGATAAATAGGTAAATGGTAAGGTTTCTATTCAATATCAATATTTTTAATAAGCATGTTGTTATTATTTACGAGAAATGTAAATCTGCATGATACAATATAATGCATTTCAATTTTCAATATCGCAATATTATTCACAATATAATTTTTAAAGCACGCAAGAGAATTTTGAATAAAAATATCTTTCCAAATTGGCGAATCGAAAATCGAATACTATTTCGTTTCATCGAAATAGAATTTAAATTTTGATTTGAAAATGCACATAAAATTTTTTTGTATAATAATAATAAAGGAAAAAAAATACATACTTTTTATACAGGTCAACAAGATTTTTATGTCATACGCGCGAGAGAAATTTTTCTAATAAAACTATTTCTCTTTCAGCAGCGCGCAGCTTAGGAATGACCAACATTTGATTAGAGAATAGTGCATACGTGCTATCGTATTTCTATTTTGGCATGCACGTTTCACATTTTCTTTATCTCTATCGAACGTGTCTCTGAATATTGAAGACCTTGGGCACTGTTGCAAAATTTTATTTTACGCCTCAATGCATACTTCAATAACAAGTCATCTTCTCTAGTTTATCCATCCGTTAAATAGCAATTTAATGTGATAGAAGCACCCATGAAATAAACAAATCGGCACGTTAATATGTAAACACCATTGCATGTAAATGATAATTATATGCGTGTAAATATTGTTCTCTAAATATGTTTTACGTCTATAATGATAATTAAGCTGAGAGCTCGCTATACGTTCGAGCTACTTTTATAATGAGGTAGGAAAACGGTAGCAAACATTGCTCCGATGGCGGGTTAATCTGCGGTTGAAACGCTTGAATTCTTAACGAGGACGAACCGAGAAGGGACAAGAAAGAGAGACATACTTTTTAAAACAATTACACGAGTAGACAGCATGAAATTGGATGCTTTAACGTGAACGCTAGATATTTACGTCTTTTTTACGCGATATGTGTGATCTTTTTAACATAAAAGGTAACTTTAATAATTACAATTAAGTAAAAAAAAAAACGAAATATGATTGATTTTTCTAATTAATTTAAAAATAAAAACAATAGGAATTTTACTGGACTGTGCATTTGAAAATTCAACAATAAGAAATAGAAGTAATGGCCGTAACGGTCAAAGCTAGATCTTTAATGCTTAACTTAAATAATTCAATATAAATTATTATACATACTATATACATATGTATATACTTGCATATATATATATATATATACCATATTTTTAGTCATCGAACTACTCGCCGAATTGGTTTTCCGGACTTATAAACGCAATTAAACTACTGTAGTAATATCGCGAATTAAATTGACAAGCAATTTTAATAATTTGACGCTTAATCAGGCATCATATTAAAAGGATGTTAATATGTTGAAAAACTGTAAATAAATTTATTGCGAAAAATATTGAAAATACAAAATTAAAATCTGCACAAGACACGAGAAAGTGCGCGCGTGCTATAAAACAAAAACATTTATTATATAATACTTTCTTCCCATTTTCTTCGAGTTATGCGATCGAACGTAGCAAATTACGTTCCAAACTTCCCATTTCCCTCGGAACTGGCCGCCGGCACTTTATTCCATTTGATAGCGATGGCGAGCCGTGGTGAGCAAATAGCTCTTAACAACGACGTATGTGAGAAAGAGACACAGCTAGTCCGGAAGCATTTATTTGCCAGCGGGAGCTCCTCGTAGTTTTACAATGTGGTCGCGCGACGTTCCGTAAAGGCAGCTCGATTCCAGGCGCACCCCGATAATATTAAAAAGTAATTGGATTGCGATCGAATGATGTTGCCGATTCGGCCACGGCGGCTATATTGTCGAGGGAAGGGTGATGGAATCGGCATCAATGGGGAGGAAGTAAAGGCGGGGGGGTGCGCAGACTGGAATAATGGACAGTCGTTAAATTTAATTGGCACATAATTATCGAAAGTCCAGGCACCAAGCAGATCGCCGCACGCCGCCAATCGTCGCACAGTTCCATTGCTAGGGCTTTAATATCGAGGAAATTCACATGCAAAGAGGAGGCTAACATCCCATTTCGTCCACGTGTATTTGGTAGAACATGCCCGGCGCTTGTGGTTTGTGCCGGCCTAACGAGTCCGGAATCGACCTGCCCTTCATCCGAAATCGCTTTCCACCACCAACGCTTTCGTTTCCTTCCTTTTTATCTACCTGGCCGTGCGCGCGTCGAACCGCTCTCTCGCCTTTTATTTCTCTCTCCGGACGTACGAGCGCGTCCGCACGATCTTCCTTGACTTTAAATTCTCGTAACTAGATTGAATCTTCGCAGAATGTAATTTGTCTTGGATGCTCGTCGAGCTACTGCTGCAAGCTCGCCAATGGCGAGAGCAACTTGAATAAAACGATAAAACGCTCGTCTGTGTCTGCGTTGTGAAATGATAGAGAATAAGGAAATACGGCGAATGTAGTGGAAAAACGACGAAGCAAGTTAAAATAGATCAAAATCATCGATTTAGATATTTTCGTAAAGTAAACGATTGTCTCGAGAGATCGGTTTCAGGTGCAAGCGTCGCACATGTTTACGATTTCTGCGGAAGACTGAACAAGTCACAATTAATCCTCCGCTCGTAACTAGGGCCTTTAAAAATATTGATATTTTGATAGTGAATTTTATTGGTACTCTTTAAAACTTTTAGAATAAATATATATATATCTCTGTAGAATAAAATCTCACTCTCTTAAAAATTGAACATTGGCAACTCTTTTTCCAGACTCAATTTTTACTTTTTAGAGTGAGATTCCACTCCGAAAAATTTAGAGAGTAGATAAATTTAAATCTGTAAAAAATAAGTAAAAAAAAAAACAATTCGACTTCTATGATAATAAAAATTCATTGTTAAAACTTCGACAAGTATATCAGAATTTGTATATAATTTAAAACAGTAAAAGATTTGCTCTGTTTCTTGAAAATCCCTATCGACGGATGAGTTAAAATTCATTTTACTGGCAAAGGGTTAAGAGTGAAATATGAGATCGTTCGGACAAATTAATTTACAATCATCAATTAGTGGAGTATCAATTAGCGGAGTAACGTTCGGATCGCTATCGGTCGACGAGAGACATACAACGTAGCGGCAACTTGTGGCTGCCACATCGTGGCTTGGAGCTACAACTAGGCGGCGCGTCGGATTATATGTTACCTCGATATCATCGTATACCAATAAATAAGCCCACGATATCATCTTTCATTTCGATAATTATTCGGCATGATGTTAATTAATTAAAGACTGAGGTCGTCGACTACTAGGGGGTGAATACCTTTCCCTTTCCGACGCTGTTTCATATCGTTTCGCGCGCACTCAGAACGGCAGGTAGACGGACCACCCCGCGTGTGTATAACCATGATCGCGCCAGGTGATAATTCCTCGAGCTCTCTGGCTAATTACCGGATGAAAGAGCTATCTGGTGACTGTCGTCAAAGCACTGGCGAGAGCCGGTAAATGCACCTGCCGCGCCATTGTGATATTTTAGCGTACTCCCAGCACACAGTTTTGTCCACAGTCCACGCCGCCGGCCTCGAGATATCTAATTTTCATTCGGCGTTTTCAGCCCCGTGTACATGAAAACCGCGATCCCATCTATGGGATATGCAACGAATATTCAACGCACGTAAACGAAATGTTTTCTCTTTAAGCATAATTATTTCCTTTCCATTTAGTTTGTTAAAAAATGAGCGTTTGGTTCAAACTCGTTAAAAAGTTAAAAATTGCTGCCAGCGAAGCAGCTATTTCAAGTTTCAGATATTTCCGCAATGCCACTGAAAATTGTCCAAATATTCTAATTCCCTGTTGCGCTAGTATTTTGTCTATAAAACATAATTATAAGTTTTTATTCTCAATTTGGAATAAAGCCAGATGTTTTACGCGAGACTGTATATACATATATATTTTTCAAGTGGAAACAGTTCCTTCGAGAATGACCAAATATTCAGAGTACCGTCAATGAGACGAAAAATTCTGGAATAATTCTTTCGATGTAAATCGTCTAAGAAGTCAAAGATGGCTGAGTGTGAAGCATGCGTGAGATCGGCACGAGGCAAATACTGGGATCACAAAAGCCGTGCCATTCGGCCAAAAGCCAAGAGAGCAAGTGAGAGAGAGAGAGAGATCCATTGAAGAGAGCTCTTGGAATTTATTAATTTAATGCGTGACTTTTTGGGTCAGAATCGTATCTGGGTGAAAAGGTTGTTGGCGACGTTCCCGGATAAGAAAAAAAATATCTCG